CTGAATTAGACGCATGCGGCGGGTTAGTTTGCTCGAGTTTTGAATTTGGCATTTTTGGAATTATCCAGTTGATGCGGTTTGGGTATGAGGCGAGTTGCTAACAGCTGATTTGGCAGGTAGAGATTAGCTGGCAGCGACGGCGGATACCTCGAACCAGGGCAAAATTCAGGCAGTGCCTTATTTTTTTGCGCCGCGTGATTCATGGAATGAGGACTTTGTCACACTTAGACCAGGTAGTTGATGAAGAGAACGGTTTGCTGCCTCAGGCGCTGGCGCTACGATTGAGCTGTCGAGGAAGTCGTCTTTCTATTCAGTGCGACCCAGAGTTTGACATGTGCTTTAAATTTAACCGGCCGCTAAATCCGCGCCATATCAGCCACAGAACTAGAGTCAACAGGATTACCAGCACGACGCCGAATTGTGTATACGTAAGTGTTGGTTTTTGCACGTATACAAGTGCTTCATCCATTTGCAGGCGATTGACGGCTATTTCGCGTACGGTATCAAGTGTTACAGACTCGATTAAATGCTGCAGATCTGGAATGGCTTGACCCTGGATTAAATCATGGTTGAAGCTGGCATAGATTTCGCTGTAGTCGCTGTTGCGCTCGAGTGCGCCCGCCAGACTGTAAAGTAGCCCTTGTTTGCTTTGTTCCAGTTCTTCCTCTGGTATTCCATTTTCTGCAACTTCAGTGACTAGTTCTTCCATGATCGTCAGTGTTGCTTCCACATCACTATGATTAACCTCAGCATCCAGCATAAGGGTCGCAAAATCTCCGTGTTCCTGAATGCTTGCCGATGGTGTGTACGTCATGCCGCGCTCGGAACGCAATCGATTATAGAGCTCTGCGTTCAGGAAGGATTGGATGCGTTGCGTTGCCAGTTTTTCGAGGCCGTAGTCATTAGTTACCTCGAAATCCAGGCTTACATAACTGGTATTGGAGAGTATGGGGTCCAGTCGGGTTTCGTACCTAAGTGGCACTCGATTGGCGCTGTGGCCTTGAGGCGCCTCATAGTAACCACTTCCTCTTGGTAGCTTTGCGAAGGTCTTCGCCAGCAGTTGTCGCATTTCTTCTGGGTAGAAGTCACCAACAGCGACAAGCAACATGTTCTGCGGCTGATGATGGGTAGTAATATATTGTTCAATGCGATCTAGACTCAGGTGCTCGGTAGTTGGAATGTTGTCGCAATACGCCCGACTCTCTGGCTTAAAGGCGCGATAGGCGATCCCACCCGAGCCTCCCATGATTCCCAGCCTATGAAAAGATTGCCTCAGCGCATTGGGTTCGCCACCGCTTTCCGCATGAACAATATCGCGCGACAGCTGGACGGAATCCTCTGTCAGTTGAGTGTCCGTAAAGATGTGGTGAAGTAATTCGACACCTTCTTCGTAATGACCAGAAAATATGTCTAGTTCATAGGTGGTCTCATATGCAGACGTCCTGGCATTCCATGAGCCACCTAATGTCTCCACCCGAAAGTCCAACTCTGGCTCTGTGTATTCAGATGTGCCTGTGAACATGAGGTGTTCAACCAGGTGGGGGAGTTCACGGTCCGGGCAGCTGAAATCCTGGAGACCTGTGGCGACCACCAGTCGAATAGAAACGTTTGGGCTGCCAGGTCTTTGATTCAGTACTGCGCGGAAGCCGTTCTCAGCTTGAATTTGGTCATAGCGGTAAAGATCGTCCGGGAGATAACGGACTTCGTTAGCGAATGCCAAATATGGGATCAGCCATAGGAGGATACAGGTTAGTTTTTTGAAGCGCATACATCGACCCGACTGATTTAGTAAATTTCTATATTTGGGTTTCTGTTAGTGATGCCAGCGTTGGACTAATCCGCTCAATGCGTATTCACTCGAGTGATCGCCATCGTGATTGCTCATACCCGGCTTGGTCAGACATCCCTTAGGCGGAATATAGCTGTCTATACGGCGTTCTGCTTTTTCACGCCACTGTATGTTGAAGGCGCCTAGAGCTGGGAAAAAGAACAGCCTGCTGTACGGTAACGTGTCGTGAATCCACCAGGCCATGGCACGCCAGTCGCCGCCTTTTTCCAGATAGTCCGAGAACGCTGGTATCACAATGCACGCCGTAGCACCCATGTTGCCTTCGGCGTCCCGCATGTCCCAAATATGTGCAGCCCGATTTTTTTTCATTGTTGGCGCAGTTGAGTTTGTGCTCGTTGCCGTACTGGTTTACGTGTGGAGAACGGTAGCCCGAACGAATAACGATGCGCCCGAATTTGGCGTTCAACGGTTCCAGCAACTGCTCACATAGCATCGATCCAGCTTTGATGGCGAGATCCGGTTGTTCAGGTATGTTGGCTATACCGTGGAAATTTGCAATTTCGCTGTGCAGAAATTCACGCATAAAAAAGTTTTGCGATAAACGTTCACGACCTAGTTTTTCCAGCGCGTTGATTGTTGTAGGTTTATTCATCGGTGGCTGATTTCGGAACGCATCGTCATGCGCCGGCCGCCGATTGAATTGGAAGTTCATCAGCTCCTGCTGCTGTATCCACTACGTCGAATTGGATGCCTGTCAAGGCTGATTGCAGCACGCCGATAATCGCGTCAACCCGGCCTTCCACAAATTGCTGAAGCGCATCTGTTGGCATCTCCTTTAGTCTCGACCATTCAAGTACTCGTGGTGAGATTAGATGATCAGCAAGCACTTCCTCAAACCCTTCCCGGTCATATTTCGCAAAGTACTCCAGTGGATTGTCGTCGCTGATTTGGAGATTTGTAATCTGGGTTAGGTATGCGATGTTCATGAGGCTGTTGGCATGCAACGGACCAACTCCTTCGCTTGTTTGTATAAAGTTAGTCGGGAACACATGGTGCAGATTTGGTTTATCTGTCAACACGTAGTACACGTCAGATAACACCGATCGATAAGGGAGATCCCAGTCCTTGGGCTTTTGATGTGCATAAAGCGATAAAACGGCCCTGGATAGTCGACCCCTGGAGCTGTAGGAAGATTGACGAAGCCTATCTTTGTCGAGCAAAAATCTTTCGAACGGATAGCTTTCGCCATTCGTTAGACTCTGTAAGTTTCGAATGTGTTCCCACAATTGGGTGGTATTGCTAAGTAAGTCTTCATTGTGAAAGCTGTTGAACCAGAAATACTGCTGTAAAAAGGCGTAGTCGGCTTTCTTATTCTTGTAAAAGTAGGAGGCCATTGTCAGGTAAAAATAACGGAAGGGCACAAGAGCTGGGCCTTTCAGGCCAATGATGTTCTCGAAGAAGTCGAACGTTTTTTCTATGGCTGCCTTAACATCGGGCCACAACTCCTCAATGTGTTCAGTCTTCAATTCGTTCAGATACCTGTCAGTAATATTAATGACACCGGCATCTGGATGTTCAAGATTCACGATAGTTGCAACCACCTGGAGGATCGTCAAATCGTCGATGTTTGAAAAACTACTCTTTGCTGACAATTGCGACTTGAAGTCGTCGACGAGTTCCCGCAGGTAGAATCCGGAGCAGTTGTTTTTTGGATCAGCGGGTCTGAAGGTCTTCGCAACGACAATGTCGAAAATATTCAGCGGCTTGCCCGCTTGGTTGATCCGTTCGAATATCTGGCAGACCTCAGCAACCCGAATGCCTTTGAGTTCAATGAAGGCAATACGGTAATTGTCGAGCACTTCTTTTATGCGACGTAACTCGGCGCGATACTCGTGGTCGTAGTCTGTATGACCGGCATCCACTAACTTTCTTTCCACTTGAGCGAAACCTGATCTGACTTCTTCGAGTTTTACGATCAAGCCTGCTTTGTAGCGACCGTTCTTTCCCATATTTGCTCGTAACTCGCCATTGCGATCATCGATCTCCTCCCAAAAAAGAAATCGTTTCTTGTAACTGTCGTCATCCGTCAACCCATCGCTCTTTACCGTAAGGTCAACATAGACTGTGGGATCGAACCCTTGTTTGCTGGCAATCTTCCCGCCGCGTAACGAGGTCAGTAAAGAGGTAGTCCGTTGTTGTCCGTCGAGGATGTACTGGTATTCCGTCGCAGTTTTGTCTTCTGGAAGCTCAATGCCACCGATGTCTCTGTGGTTTTGAAGTTTGATGTCTGTCTTCCAGACGAGGATCGAGCCGAGGGGATAGAACTTGTAGACGCTGTCCCACAGACGTTTAACATTCTCTTTTTCCCATACAACATCACGCTGGAAAGTCGGAATCTGGTACTTCCTGTTCATCAAATCATCAAGGTAAGTAGAGATTCCCGAGTGTCCCGGCTGTATCCGGTCTGTAAACGTCGACATGTTGCTTCAGTCTCTATTTTGTTGAGTTTTGTAAAATCGCTTTTTGGGTTTTTGGCTGGCTTTTTTGCGTTCTGCGAGCCTTACAAATCAAATCTTGAGCGGCCATTACGAGAACCGTATACGGTAAATCGTGACCGTAAATATTGTCGTGAATCAGGTCTAGCTTTGGGCGCTTGTAGCTTGATTCTTCAGTGAGAAATGTGAACATGAACCATTGTAGGTAAAAGCAAATATTTGGCTTTTATATGAGCAAATTGGATATAGATAAGTTCGAGGGCGGTGTGACGCTCGAATGTCTCTATGAACTGCGATATCGACAGTTACCCACCCAAGCGGGTGTTTATTTGGTACGTAGAGATGCTTCCGACCAGCCTGACTTCCTTGAGGGAAGTCCCGCAGGTTGGTTTAAAGGGAAAGATCCCTCTTACCCATTTAGCAGAATTCACGATGAGTGGGTTGCTGGTGCGGACATTGTTTACATCGGCAAAGCGGCGGGTACGCGTGGTCTGCGTCAACGCGTTCAGCAACTTGTTGATTTTGGATTCGGTAAACCTGTAGGCCATCGAGGTGGACGAGCCTTGTGGCAATTAGCTGATCATGGAGCGTTAAAACTTCATTGGCTGGTTTGCGCGACGGAGGACGCAGACACCTTCGAGTCTGCATTGATTGAATCCTTTAAACATCACCACGGCACGCGTCCGTTTGCCAACATGGCAAAGTAGCCATCGGAATTACGAAGCCTGTCCGAAATGCTCAACGAGGCGAACCATCGCTTCAGTGTCGAATCGGCAATATTTCAATAATTCTGTTTTCAACTCTTCGACCCGTTGTGTTGGTGTGTTGACGTCGATCGCTTCGATGAATCCTGCTGATGCAGCCTGTCCCTGATTGATGCCTTCAAGCTTCGCGTAATCCATTTCCGCATCGATGGTAGGTAGGACCGCTTTGATCGACCAGGAGCCCATCATGTCGGGGTGGTAGTAGTTGTCGCGTGCCACCGGAGCCAGGTCCACCAGTCGCCCAACCAAAGCGTTTAGCGGATCGGCTAGGTCGGGATGTGCATCGGCCAATCCTAAGATCACCCGTTGTTCGTAGCTGGTGTACATCAATATGGGACCCTTAGTGCCAAGTGTATGAATCATCGCTTCGGCCAGCGCGCGCATCGGTGGTTCGCCGGACAAATCCAGAAATTCTGCGTGGCGCATTTCACCGGGTGCTTGTTCGATGTGGCAGGACCATTGAATGGGTAGAGCTTGGTAGGGGCGGGTGCCTGCCCAGATCGGTACCGCAGGGCCGATGGTTTCGAAGTCCAGGTAATAGCGCGGGTAGTCGAGATTGGCCACGAATTCCGCAGCACAGGGCAGCAGTTCTGGCTCGCCTGTTAACGTGATTCTGTGAATACGCTGGTGTTTGGCGTTGGTGAGTTTGTCTGTTGGTATTTCGGTGATGTCGCAAATGCCGTCGTTTACAAGTTTGCTGAGGGTTTTCTTGCTGCCACCCAAGCCTCGTATGGGATAGCGTGTGTCGGAAGGCCAGCAATGATTTAGAAACGGACAATCGTAGGGCTTGGTGCAATGTTGGCCGACGCCTATTTCGGGTTCTTTGGCTTTCAGCGTGTCTTGGGCTTTGGCGATCAGGTCTGGCACCTGTGGTACAAGCTCTGCGACTTCCATGCTTAGGTCTGTTTCTTGCAACAGGCCGCGGTAGTCCTGCTGGCCGTTGTAGACGTACTGGTTGTTGATGTGTGCCAGTGCAATTGAAGTCAGGGAGTAGCCTAGTTGTTGGAAGACCCACGCTTGAATGGCGCAGTCCCAGTAGTGTTCGTCTTTGATTTTGGTGGACGACTTGACCTCAACTATTTTCCAACCCTTGCCGTCGGGCAAAAGCACGTCGACGCGCACCAGTACACCTGCGTACTCGAATGTGGCTTCAAATATTGGCTCGTCAGGTCCTGTCTGCATCAACGCCTGGGTCTGTGCCACCGCGGCTGGCATGCCTTGTTCATACTTGATGTAGGTGCCGCGGCCCTCTCCGTACAACTGCACAGCAATGTCGCCCACCTCGTGACCGACTTCGAAGGATGCTTCTGTGTTGGCCGAGTTTGTGATGAGCTCTGGATGATTGACCTCGAGGAACAGTCGTTTGATGCACTGCATTGAGGACATGATTTTTGATTTGGACAGGTGTGGGAGAGCGTCAGACATTGGTTCTGAACTCTACTGCCCATGGGCAATCTTCTGTGTACAGCAATTCCAGGCGCACCGTTGCGCGGGTCATGCCGCAATACAGAATGTGGCGCCTGACTTCTGATTGATCGAGACGCGCATCGAGGTCTACCAGAATCACAGCGGGCGCCTGCTGGCCTTTGAATCTGTAGATGCTCTCAAAGGTGATGTCTCCGTCCGTGTATATTTGTTCGCCGTTACAGTATTCGCCTGTGAAGCGTTTGAGGGCGTAAGGCCCCACTTTGGTAGCTTCAGCTAGTGCGGATGATTGTATGCCGCGGCAGGAAACGATAGCGATCTGTGATTGGTTGAACCCCATTTTAACCAGCTCATTGATCCGGTGTGCCACTGCTTTAACAAGGTGTGCACTGTCTTTGAGCGCCTCTGTGCGAACACCCAGGCCTGGGAGTTGGTTCTTCTGGTTGAAATCCACACCGAGGACAGACTTGATGAATGGAGCGATGGTTGCTGGTGTGCGGAAGTTACATTTTTCCCGGTAGGCAACGAAGCCTGGCAACTCGACTGGTGGATTCTTGCGCAGGTTCTGCAGCGGGTCTTCCAGCCACAATACGGTAGCGTTCGGTTTCAAAAAGAGCTCGAGTATGTCCCACCATTCCTGCAGAAAGTCTTGCCCTTCGTCGACGATCAGGGCGTCGTACAGGGCATCATCGGGAATCAACTGCGTCATCAGTTGTTCCTGGATACGCCGCCAGTAGTCCGGGTCGTCAGATGTTGGATCGCTGACTTTGGTCCCAAGTGATTCCAGTGTCGATTTGCAGAAGCCATAGTATGTGTCGACCTCTACGCCCGCTGGTGCCAACCGTCGCATTTTGTCCGCTAGTGGGCGGTTAAAGCACAATTGCAGCACGCGACGCCCTTGTTCAACAAGGCGGCTGGATTGTTGTAGCGTCAGTTGGGTCTTGCCACAACCGGCGGTACCCACAACGCGCAGTCGAAAAGGTGAAAAGTCGAGATGGTCTATGACCTCACTCAAGCCTTCTAACATACGAGTATAGGTTTGATGCTGGGCGTCGACGAATGCGCCAACGTCCGGCGCGATGTGCAGAGTATGAGAAAAGAACTGCAATACGCGATCACGCATGCCGGTGTCTTCGTCGGACCCGGGGGTAAGCAACTGCGTGATTCTATCAGTCAGATTTTCGCGGCTCGCGTGGTCGACCGTACGGCACATGTCGACGCCTGCGCCGTTTATCGATACTACTCTGTGGTCAGGACAGTAGATCAGGTAATCAATATCGAGCTTGGCATCGTTGCCGTGTTGGGTCGAGAACTTCGACATGATGCCGCCGATGTTGCGTTGGATTTGCGTATTGACCGATTTGCGCTTTTGGCCGTAGTGCTTGACCAGTCCGTCCTCGGTTTCCTGCAGTGCACCGTTTTTCTGCTCAATGGCCAGTACCTGGCCGGATTGATTCACGATGATGAAATCGATTTCACCGAATTGGGTGAACTTGGCACCCGCGTTGGACCAGTGCTGGCTGTGGAACACCGCGTAGTCGTTCGGTAAGTTGCTTGCGAGGAGTTTGAGCGTTTTGAGTTCGGCGGCGTGCTGACTGTCTGGGTTGCACTCGAAAGCGTCTGTGGGGTACAGGCGGGCCATGAGTTGAACGTCCTTGTGCTGTTGGTGGCTGTCGATTAAGGGACTGCGGTATAAAACGATACTGTGTTGAGGGGATGGGTGTGTGATGGGGTTGGCATAACCGACAAGCGCGCTCTCAACTAGCATAGCCTCTCAGCGATCCTTCAGAACTCGCATTCCGCATTGAAGCTTGCAGTCCAACTGATCTGCAATCAGTGAGAGTTGTTTTTCTATCGGTGTCTGCCGGCTGAAGCGTGCCCATTTTGGTACCGTCGATCTTCTATAAGACTAAGCGGACGTTTGGGAAAATAAGCCTTACAGCTCTTTCCGCCCCAGGCTGTGTGAAAACTCTTGCGCTAAAAATAAAGCGTGCATCAGCACGTCGTAGTATAAATTTCGGCCAGCGTGAGTTCCTAACGAGTTAACTCTAATGCGTTTTTTTTGCTCCGATTTTAACGTCTCTGAGTTTTGACACTTCCTGGATCCATTACGGACGTTCGCGCAGCTCTGAAGGGACTACTCGTGCTATCTATGCAGTAAATCTTGAATGGAATTCCCGGGGTGTCTACAAACCCTACGGAAGTCAAGGAACCTAGTCCGCCTCGATAAGAAGAAGCGGTTGTTGCTGCTCATTGTTTATGGCTTGGATGTAGTCGAATCCATCTACGTCCCTTTCAATGAGCGTTTCGAGAAGATAGGGCTTACTGGTAGCGGCATCTTGAATGTCTCGAAGGTTGCCGACCAGATTACGTGTTTTAACGAGTTTTTGCTTCAGCAAATGATCGAACGGTGCGTCCTGGTTTTCTATCAGGTTCACGGACTTGTGGGCGAGCTGCATAGGGGTCATGGCATCGAAGAGAGCGTTGTAGTCGCTGGCTACACCCTGAGATACCTTGTGGGCAGCGGGCAATTCGCGCGCCAATGCCAAGCATTCGATTCGGCCTGCGTTGCATAATGCTAATGAACGGGTGAGCGTTCCAAAAAGCTCCTCATCGAAAGTATTTTGTTCCAAGAGGTGCTTTACTTCACCACGAAAATAGGCGCTCTCGTCGGCGAGCGCTCCTGCGATTCTCTGCCATTCTGAAGCTGGGCTACTTAGCGAGTGAGCTTGCTCGGCCTGATTGAACAGACCATGGATATGGGAATAATGTGATCTGAACACGCTTTCCCGAAGCTCCTGAAACAAATTCTCGACCCGGTTAGCGAACCCATTCATTTGTGACTGCAAACCATTGAGCTTTTTATTCATCAACGCGAAACCCATTGCGCTGACGCCAATTCCTGCGACGGTTGCCCCGAGGTTAACAAACTGCAGCATCTGCAAACCTTCCACCATGGCTTTAAGTTGCACTAACTGAACATTCGCAGCTATCGATGCGGGTGCATCAAGAGCCTGCAATGGTGATATTGGCGAGTTGACGGCCTGACTCAGTAGCTTCTGTGCCAGGCCAGTTTCCTGAATGTGGGCTACAATCTGGCCACTGCTTGCGTCCTTAAGTAGGGCTCCAGCCCTCACTAAGCTTCCGCTGGCGATCTCACCTGCAAACTTTGCTGGCACCTCAAAGGGTATGGGGCCGATCATTGGTCTATCTCTAGAAGAAGTTTGTTAGCGGTTTCGTTGATGAACGTTTGAAGTCTTTGCCGAACCGATTCGTTTTCGGTGTTATAGCCTAGGATCTGATTCTCAATTGATTGTCTAATGGTTTTTCGGTAGCGCTCGATTGCGTTCGATCTTAGCCCCGCAGCCTTGTAGCTGCCAAAAGCCAGCAGTGCGCTGGCGGCGATGGCCCCAGTTGCAGCGATCGGCCAAGCCACAGTGCCAATGCCTATCAATCCTAGAATGCCGCCTGCTGACACGACCGACAATCCGGTTATCGTGGGGATGGCAGCTAGCCCTGCGCCTGTGACCGCAGCAGCGATGGCGGCGTCAGAGTAGCGGCCCGCACTGCCTTCATGCTCGAGGACAACACCTTGCTCATCATATTCAAGCGCATGTGCAAATACTGCATTCAGATCTTTCTGTGCCGTTCTGACCAGGCTAGATACCTCTCGCTCAAGCCATTCGTTGTAAATGGGTTCAAAGTGCTCCTTGGCAAAGCCTTTTCGAAGGAATAGATCTTTGATGTCCATCTCTTCGAGCTGATTGTCTAAGACAGCGTATAAACTGGTGAGCTCCCGGGCCAGCTGCATTTCGACATTCTCAGTATGCGTATCACGCCAGTCCAGTACCGCGCGTCGAAGATCGAGGTTGGCAAATTTTGCGTGGCAGATGGTTGTTGCGACGTCTGAGAGGGTCGGACTTTCTTCCATCTCGGGCTCAGGTACTTTTTTCCCTTTCCAGAACATCATCGGTGCAAGTAAACCCTCTGTTTGAATCGCCAGGTATTGAACCAGCTGGCGTTATAATAAATTTTTTTGTATACCTCAATTCTTAACAATAGACAGTTCCGTGGCAATAGATACTGGGCAAGTCAAAAATCCGTCGATTGCGCTGTGATTGAACGTAAATGCGAAGTCAGCAACGCTTAGGAATCTAACGACGACGGTACGGTTTCGATGGTGCGGATGTAACGCGGAAGGTTTATTTTTCGATCCGTAGCCAACGGCGTGATTCGACCGCTGACATCAAATTAGCGGAATCTCGAGTAAGAATGCGTGTTCAAATAGATGAAGGTTGTGATTCGAGTACCTCTGACCGCTATCTACGTCAAAGCAGACGCCCCCATTGAGCCAACTCTATTCCTGCTTTGTGCCCATTCCAGACATGAAGACATATGAAAGCAAGTCGTGTGTAATCGCGAGCATTGTGTTGGTTCATCTAGCTGTCTTGTGAATTCGGCTCACAAAAATCTAACATATATAAATAGCGGTGACGGAAAAATGATTTGCAATAGACTCTTCCTGGGCAAAAATAGTCGACAATTTAAGAAGTTACGATAGAGCTCAATCTGAAATAGACAAATCTATAACTCGTGCCGGTAACGTCTCTTTGCACGTATCCTTCACTAGATGGTCTACGTCTTCCCCAACCAGCAGCTTGTTGCCACTAATCTCTAGTGTGCCAGCCCACCGATCTCCCAAATTGACACTACCCGCTTTTGTTATCACTAGTCGTTCTTCACCAAACACGCTTTTCTGTATGTCGATGCTTAGGAGGAGCACTTCCATGAACCTCCCGCTTCCTCCTCCCGACGATGTTGTTTTGACAGCGTGAATACCCGAATTGCTCTTGCCTATATATTCGTACTCAAAGTACTCACCCGATGTCCTGTTCGTCCTGAGCAAGACCGACTCATCGTCTAGCTCAAGGTCGCTTTCATCGTAGTTGTATCGATTGCTCTTCTGAGAACCTAGTAGGTTGATTGCAACTACCTGGTCGTCGGCATCCGAGAGCCAAGTAGTAAGATCTTCTAGTATCCTAGGATTTATGGGAGTCGTTCCAATGTAGAAGTGCTCTGTTGCACACGTTAGATGATCTTGAATTCCTCTTCTTGGTGCACGACAGACCATTGGTAGCACGAGGTGTTGTTCAAGATATGCTGCCCTATCGTATCCGCGTGCGAGTACCGCTGATTGAGGAAACATCGTAAGTGCTTTTTCATGAAAAAAAGTGAGCATATTGGGAGTAGGAAACTTCTGCCGCAGCCAAACTTTATTTACCTGTTGGCCTGCCTTTGCAAGGCAACTATCGGTTAGGTCAGCCTCGACCCCACAAACCCGTGACTCCGGTGTCCGCAACGATTCGGATGCTAAGAAATCGTATGCGCTTAGCTCTAAGTTAAACATATCGACAAACGTGCTTTCGCCAACGCGCTCAAGAAAAGCTTGAAAAAGCTCTGAACAATTGGGATTAGAACTTAATGATCTAATAGGCTTCCACGGGCGCTCAGCCCAAAACAGATCAAACTGATCGGGTGCGCTCGCGTACATATGTCCGAGTATCGCTGCAAATTTTGCCCGTTCGAATGTGATGTTTGAAATGCGGTCAAACCATTTCGAAGGATCGTTTTCGAATAACTGGGGCGCAGATACTAGCTGTTCCAGCGTCCAATTGTGCCAGCCATAGCAAGTGAGCGCCGAATCAAACTGCATAATCGATAGCTCTGGATTAGCGGGTTCGATACTCGCAGCCTCAGCCACGTTCGATGAAAGATGTGCGACCGAAAACACCCATAGTGTCAATACGCAGAGCTGAGACCACAACCATGACGCTCTAGCTATCATGCTTGGTGCTCAGAATTGGCCACGAACATCTGGCCGGGCATTTGTTTTTCGTTCGCGTGTTCACCTACCGCATCAGACTGATGCCCACAGTATTTGCATAAGACGGCGGCGGCGAAAATTTTCTCTGCGCAGAAGGGGCAGTACCTTTTAGGCCTTCTCCCCACCATTTCCTTGAACTTTCTTAACCTGCCGGAGCTAGGCTTCCCTAGTATAAGAAGCAATAGGAGTGCCAAAAGGGGGCTAATAAAGATGGACAACAAGATCCACCCCAGAGGTGACCGCGCCTTCTCAGTCGCGACAGCAATTACTATTCCTAGCAGAGCAACGGTGGCGACTATAACTACGATTTTATGGTCCATTAGACTTCCATCCTAAATCCCAAATGGACGCTTCGATTTAAGTACTTATATCATCTGTTGTCCCTGTCGGCTGGCGAAGGGTTCACATTCAATACAGTATTCGTCTGATTAGGGCACTTTTCAGTCTACCGTCCAACACCCCGATTAGGTCTGCTTAGGAGCTTAGTTTGAAGCAGATCACAAAATAAGGCCGATTTGCTCGAAAGTCGGCATTCACGAGGCCCCTAGCTAGCGCCTGATTCGGCCAGGAGCGGAAGTTAGATTTTCAATATGACAGGGGGTAATGCGTTCTCTGCATCAGGTTGCTAGGTGTCATCAGGCAAGTTGCGATTGTCATGATTGGCCTTCTCTAGCCTCTTCAATCTTCTGAGGGAAATCTCGTTTTGCTTCTTTAGATCAAACATATTTTTGTAGATCGCTATCGCATCAGCTACTTCC